CTCTTGGAGGAGAGACGAAACGTTTCATTAGAGAAGAACCCGTCCAGAAGACCTATACAATTTATTTTTTGTTTTTGGTGGTGGGATGAATTCATTTCACAGGTAAAACAATCAACATGCATTAACATGCATTATGTTGTTTATGGTTCATGCTGGCTTTAAAGCAGCTAATTTTAAGACATTTATACATCTTTGAAGCTTTCATGGACCACATAAAATGCCACATTTGGTCTCTGGGCCATATGTGTACATTTTTAAGACTATTAGCATTTATTTAACCAAACTAATCCCAGTGAGGTCACAGATCTGAAGGCATCATGCTTTTGGACTGTGAAAGGAAACTAGAGAACATAAAAACTCCACACAGAAAGACCCCAGCTTTATGAACCTCAATCATCAACCTTCAATGCTGGGAGGCAACACTACCACTAATCTACTGTGTTGCCATTAACAATTGGAGTCAACTTCGTCTGCAAAGTATCTCATAAACAGAAATCATAAATGGATGTTCATCTACACTACTGATGTTGAAATACAAAAAAAAAAAGTCTCTATGTCTTACAGTTTTACAGAAACTGACCTAAAATCTGGTGTGGTAGTAGCTGAGAGGCATCCCCAACATATATTCTGAGAGCTAAGAGATACCAAGATAGGGTTGGGCAATATTTGCAAAAAAATTAATCACGATTAATTGTGGTATTTAGCCGATAACGTTTAATTTGACGATTAATCCCCTGGACACTCCTATGTCCTGGTCACATGACCAGTTTAGTGGGTAAGATTTGCTCTTCGTAAAAATCTGTCCCAAATTGTGCCAAAATTACAGACTTCGGGCTGTAYGTCAAATTTAAAATTGTGTTGATAGATAAATAAATACATAACTTTATTTTTAATATTTGTCATATTTGAAGTGGAGAGGAACATCGAGCAGACTAAACCGGAGCAGTCAGTCTGCCTGGTGGCATTAATCATATTAATCATCAAGTGCCAAAAAGTAATCGATTAATGTTTTTCTGACGATTAATTGCACACGATATGATTATGCCCAACCCTATACCAAGAGCTGGACCTTTAATTGGGGCCGGGTCTGTCCCTGTTCTTCAGTGGGGTGGGTCTGCAGGCAGACTGGCCCTCTTTCACCTGATATTTCAACATGCAGTGGCTCCCAGCAGACCTTTTTCTCCTGATGCCTGCGCGAGGACTGGAGGTAAACGTCAGTAGGCGGAGTGGATGTTGCCCTTTACTCCTGTCCTCTCTGAGCTCAGGACCTTCACCTGCAGAACCAGCCTTTTCTCTTCAGCCCCCACTGGAGCTGTTCCCTCTCGCTTACAGTCTGCTGAACTTCGAGAAGCAGAAGGATGCCGTTGTCTCGCTCCCTGTCCATGACGTCCCTGAGCGGGCTGCTGCCAGCCTGGGAGGAGGACGAGCTGCCTGTAGAGGACCTGCTGCTCTTTGAAGTTGCCTGGGAGGTCACCAACAAAGGTCAGCCAGACCACAAWCCTGCACTAAATTCKATGTATTTATTTCTAAAAGATGCATTTATTTTGAAACTGACGAAGTACAGCTCAGTGATGTAAGGTATACAGTGTTAGATACATTCTTACAGTTATGCATGAAAGGAAATCAGCTTAGAGCTTACAGAGAAATATCCTGAGTCGTGCTCATGGCGTGTTAGGGCTCCCTGCCTGTTTGGAACAGTTTGCGTAAAACTGAATCTTTGCTCTTTAAAGAGTAAATATTGCTCCCTGTGTGGAGTTAAACATTAAGCTGCAGATAAGTTAGAAAGATGGCAGCTGCACACCCGTCAAATTCTGTCTTTTAGCAAAATATCCCATGTACCACTGGATGGACTTTGAGAAAACTCTCAGAAACTAATCAACAGATGCACAACTGATTCAAACCCATTTAAAACCTACTGAGTCGTGTTTGAATATTTGATTCATTTACAAACAGGAGAGTTTGAAACCTGAAAAGTCTTAAAGGGATCCCCGATTAGTTGTAATATTAGACTTTATTTGATAAACATATATTTTAACTGTAAAATAAAGACCGTAAAAATACTGTAGGCTGTGTAGTTTTGTAAATTTTTTAAAATATATTTTACATGGATGGATCCATTTTAT